GTATTTGAGTTAAAAAAAATTAATTAATTCCCAATGGGCAACACTTTTCCGATGTAACAAAGTTACAGTAAGGAAATCCACAATAGTCTCCAGAGATTTTAGAAACAACGTAAACTTATCACTTGCATTTGCATTTGCATTTGCTGCAAGCCAAAGAAAACATAAGCTTTACATACCACAAAGTTCAACTCCTTTTGCAGCCATATGGCAACAGTAACTGCTGCTGGAATAGCAAATGAAACAGCAACGACGCAGCCGCACTCATTGTTCTAGCATTGGTATTGTATGAAAATTACGTAAGTTCGGTGAGCTCTCAAGTACAAGTTGTCTCACCCAACTCGAGTGTTGCAAGTTATGTACCTTGGACACTTCCTTCGAACGGACAGCAATATTCGTACACTTGGGTAAAAAGCTAAAAGAATGCAAAATAAAACAAGCGAAAAAAGATAAAATTTTAAACAAAGAAAAATATCTGCTCGATTATTATTTGCTATTCATATGCAAAAACCGATCAAACTTACAGGCATATATGCAGCTATATACATACCAGCTTTGCAGACACACTTCCTAGAATTGAACGCAAGTTTAAACGCATTTTCTACACCTTCCCCTCACTTGCCTTTCCGATCTAGAGTTTGCCGACATTCAACGCTTCGCATGATCAAATAAATACAGGTGTTTGATAATAATTTTGTAACAACTACAGGCGCTGCACAGAGGACCACACTTGATCTGCGGCTAAAGCGCTGTTGGGGAAAGGGGCCAGAAGCTGCACTACTTTGCCTATCGCTACATCGCTGCTTCGCAGCTTCTTGTTCATATTGTGCGGCTTACTCTTTTCGCTCCCTTGTCCTTTTTGGAGCCGTTGCTAAATTCTTACGCGCTACTGTTCGCCAGATTTGCTTTGCGATTTCGTCAGCACAATAAAAACTACATTATTTGCATATCGCCAATTGTGTATGCAAATATGCAATGCCGAAACTGAAATGTAGTGAATAACCGCGCGCACACGATATGGACATGCACATCGAAGATTGTCTTTGCTGGCCAGCGCGCCGACATTGCCACGTACGACGGATGAGTACTCTCAGTCAAAGGTTTGGGAAGTGAGGTATGTTGGTGCTTTGGCGGCTTGTGATTACTTGAAAAGTAGTCGAATGAGTTGGTTGGAGGGTGTAGGTTTGCGCGATATACATATGTACATATAAATATGTACCCGCGTCTGAAAAAAAGAGTGTTACGGACCGAAAACATTTTTCACTCGGGACTAATCGCGTTGCATTTTTAAGACCTTAAACTTTAAGAAAATCATGAACCCAATTTGAATGCGGAGCTTTAGGGTATTGCAGTAAAGGGGAGAACTTTGAGATCTCTAGGATCTGGTTAAGCGCTGTGGGAAATGAGGAAACAAAGGCAGCGGCCAAATTACGAAGAATACTAGAAAAGTCGCCACGTAACTATACCAAGAGTCAAGGAAACACGAGTCAAGGAAACACACGGACTACGCCGAGCGAGAAATCATTAGGTTTCCTCCTGGATACACACTTCCCAAGTAACAAGCCGGTGGAACATATCGACTCCACTGATGATGGGAGGAAATCTGATCCAGGTAATCGATTGATTACAAAGTGTAAAGTCGAGAAGACTATTAAAACGTTTGGTCCTTACAAGTCACCGCGACTTGAGGGCATTCACCCGGCAGAGTGGCAGCAATCATTGGTTATTAATTCTCTGTTCATTGCGGGCATTATAATAAGCGGTCTTGACAAGGTAGGCAAACATTTGGCCGACGCCGACGGCACTCAGACTAAAAATTATGGTACTAAGGAAGCATAGGTACCTTAGCACACATGCCATAACGAAGACTACGATTAATATCTTCTTATTTATTTTATCGAAAGAACTCCTCAGCCTCTTTTGATGACGATAAGGGCAAACACATAAATGATGATTTAAAGACAGACTGCTGGAAAATTTGGAATTTTAAAGGGGAAGGTGGCTCTGCCCGGCTGGCTAATGCCAGGGAAGATTAACGTTGATATCACCGTCACTAAAGGAATGCGAAGGACGCGGCAGGGCAAGGAATACATAAGGCTTTGCTAAAGATAATTCTTTAACGAAGGGACATATGCGAGCAGTGGAACGACATTTACCACTCATTACATACCGCCACCAAAGAAGTAGTCAATTTCAGCGTGCACTAAAGAACAACAGGTATAACGTGGAAGTCATGCGATGCAAAGAAAAATATGTCGTCACTTAGAGAGCCAGGCTGCGATGGGCGGAATGCGAGCTGTTTCGGATCGATTTCTGGAGTTGAAGAGGGCAGCGATACGTATTTGTCGTAATGAGAAGAGAGAGGACGAGAAATTTGAGTTAGAGGATCTTTCAGAAATTCTGATGCTCGAAAATTTTATCAGAAAGCTAGGAGACTTGCGAAAAGTTTTACGACCAGGCGAACTCCTGCAACACTTTTTCACCCAACTAAGTGGTAAAAGCACTGCAGTCGGTAAAGAAGAGGAACCCAATTACTACCCATAATCGCGTTCGTTATAGATAAGTGTATCGTGGTCATCATTTAATATTATCGATATCGTCAGAACTGTGCTTCAGAAAAAAGCTCTTTGTCTCGCTGGATAAACCGTGAACCACGAAGCTGCTTGCTCTGTCATAAGGTCAAACTATATATGCACATGTCAACTACGATCTGATAGCGCTTTTACTCAAAGCGTGCCTTTATTAAATCTATAGAAAGCTTTACGAAACTTCTAACGTGGAATATGTTTTGGTCGTTACTCCTATATACATATACTATGTAAATATGTATTAATATGCACATATAAACTTCTTTGCAGTCACCAACAAAACATGTCCTGCTGAAGAAGCCGTTCAAAGCTTTCGATTTATTTTATATAGACGCGCAGATTTATAGCTTTATCTGATCGTAACTGCTTTATTAAGCTTTCTTTCATTTTTCATCAGAGTTAGAAAATTCATATGTGTGGAGCTTTGACTGTCATGCAGGAGAAGCTTTTTAAGCTTTCTCTAGGTCTTATATCAGTCACGACCAGGGTTGCCACTGAAGAAAAATCTACCAAGTCTGGAATATATCTACCAATAAATTTTTTATAATTATTTTAATAAAAATTATAGTTTTGTTACTTTTTTGTTTATTTTAATTAAAACTATAGTTTTTTATTATTTTAGTTATTTCAATAAGAATTAAAATTGTTTTTGATGAACTTTTTATTGAACTTATTATACGGTATTTGAATCATATCTATTATTGGCATATTCGTAGTTTTCTTCAAAACGGAAGTGATGAAACTAAAAATTTTGTGTTGCTTTAACTAAATCCATAAAAATTAAGGATTCAAACTATATACAACATTTAGAATAATTCAAAAAATTTGCGTCCAAAATTCGAATTTTTGACTCTGAATTTTTAGAACAATTTAAGATACCGGGGTTTAAAGCAAATAATAAGTGAGTATAGCTCACAATGTGGTTCCCGTTGATTTTTTTTTTTAATTTTTTGCCACCAGTCTTTCGTGTTTTTTTATTTAACAATTTCTATTGATAAAAAATGGCGTTGATTTATTTTTTTTTGCGAATTATTACAGTGCGTCATTTCATACCTGTCAATTTTTTCTTTATATGTATTTAAATAATCATTTAAAATATTTTGGCAATCAAAAGCTCCTCGGGATTCCAGTAAAATGAGTTTTGAATGGAGCAATATATGTTCGCTTTATAACGATATACATTTATATGTAAATACATGAAATGTATGCAGAGAAATTTATAATATAAAGATAACTACGAAAAATAAATCGGTAACGAAAAGTTCAACAAAAATCTGATGAGAAAAAACTTACCTTTTTGCCAACCCAAATTTTTTCTACCAATGTTGGTAACAATTTACCAAAGTGGCAACCCTGGTCACGACCCGCATATGTATATCTCATAACGCTTTCGGATAATTAAAATGAAAACGAGTGCACAGGGTTAGGGCTCTCTCTAATCCTGATGACTTTATACTATAAAGGTTATAGCCACCCCTTTAAGCCTTTTTAAACTCACTTTCACTTTATACTAGAGTTTTCAAAAATTCATATACATGTGTGCAGCTTTTAAAAGCTCTTTGACTGCCGCTCAGGGAAAACATTTTAGCTTTCTATAGATGTGATAGCAGTCACCATAAAAAACATACACATTTCATGGGAAATGCGTTTTAAAGATTTCAAATAGTCTTATATGCCCACATCTGTAGTGAAAGCTTTCTGCTCATTAATGTTTAATGAGTGCGTAAAAATTAAAAGCTCGTTCTGGGCAACACTGCTCTAACCTAACGGCAAACTCTTACTAAATAAGCTTCTGTTTTGGACAGCAATTTATTTTTACATGAATAGATACAAAACATATTATTTTGGAAGATTATAAAAGTTTAGACATAACATATTCAAAATCAGATAGTGATCAATCTTGTTCGCTATGTACTAATTTATGTATATAAATGCCCCTGCTTTGCTGGGAAAAATTCGCTCACAATACCAAAATGATCTAAATGGGCAAAAATTCGACAAACAAATCTTTTCGTTTTTTTGCCGATTTATTCACCCCTATTCCGGTTGTCGCAAGTCGTTCGCATCGACAGTCGTTCGTTAAATTATGTCTGAAATAAAAACATTAACGACAGATTCTAAAAGCTCAGTTAGTCTAGACTTAATTTCCGTAATTTAACCTAATTTAATATTTTGGCCAACCTATTATATGAGAAACTTTGTTGGTGGTCAGTTAAAACTTAACATACCGTAAGAAACTTAAGAACCTGTAGATTTTAGGTTCCTAGGTTACGGCCTTACGGAAATTGCGAGCGGTGAGAGAATCAGGCTTGCCAGACTCTCGTTTTTGTATTTCTTAAAAATAAGTGAAAGCAAACATTTTTATTGCATGATTTTTTTTTGATATGGCATTTAAGGCGGCGAACTGTTAAACAGCTGAAAATAACATACAGACACAAACTATTTCCGCTCATGGCTTAATTTCTTATGGTAAGTTAAATTAAGTAAAGTCTAGACTAACTGATATTTAGCACGTTTTCAATACTTCTTCATTTCGAAATGATAATAGGAATAATAGTGTGTAGTAGATTATGTCATTGGTTGCCTCATAACGCCAATGAAAATCTCAAATTTCGACGAACTACTGTCGTTCCGACAATCGGAATAGGGGTGATTGAATTAGAAACCGTTTTGGGGATTTGGAGTATATTCCGCTTAACGATGCTTCTTTTTTGGCTTGCCAAAACAGCTCGAACAACCACTCGAACAACCACTAAAACAACCACTCTGGTATGTTGGTCCTTCTGCATTCGCTTCCCATATTTGTCGGCACATTTCCTCATCGGCACGTTGAAATATACGCACTGCCTCAACATCCTTCGCCATGTACTTGGCAATCATTTTATCGTCGTGAAATTCACGTACAATCGTAGAGGGTATATCCCCCAGTTGATGCTGAATCAGCACATTGTTGAACAAAGCCATCGTAGTTCTCATCTTGCGTCCATCCAGCGTTTCCTCATCGAAAGCTTGGCATAGCTGAAATCTCAATATGGTTGTGGCGAAATCCGATGCCGTAATCAGCGAATAATATTCGTCGTTTTTTCGCAAAGCTATAACTGGGCGCACTGAGTTTGCTATTTTACGCAATACTGGACCAACACCAATGGCTGCCAAGTAGCTGTCAAAGTGTGATCCGTCTACGAGTTTATAGATTTTACCTTCCCATTTTTCGGTTGGTTCAATTGGAGTGTATCGTGGTCGATTCCTTCTATTGTTTTGCTGGATATCCTCCTTTGAGTTGGTTTCTTTGTATTTCTTATTTTCAGACTTCCTTTGACCTTTGTTTCTTGACATTATATGACTTTAGTTTTTTGGGAGGTCACTAAGCACTACTAGGCCTCCGTACACGAAAGTAACGCGTTTAGTTGCGAATAGAAAATTACAAATTTAGCATAGTTTACAGATTTTGACGAAAATATGAAACAAAATTAAAAACGTGTGCGTTGTCAATAAACAAAAGAAGAAAAATATCTTGCCTCCTATGCAAAGTATTTTCTTGAACAACTAGAATACCCAGTTATCGTTCAACCAGCCACCGACGGAGCGTCCTTCCGTGCTTGCCATTCGTATCAACATATTTAATTCCTGTTGAAGAAAGAGAGAGGGAGAGAGAGAAACAACGCTAACGTCACCGTCATCCGGTGGTGAGTTTTCGCTAACACAATAATCCCATAAGATATGTCTTGTCAGCTGACACGGTCTACGATTTTACGGCGGTGGCTGGTTGAACCATAACGGCATGTCCTGACCACTTCATCTTAATATTCATCGACAATTAAAGTAAACGGAATTGTTTTATAGATGCAATTGAATATAAGTGATGGTCCGGGTTATGTTTACTATAATTGCAATTGCGGGTCTTTCATTGGTGGCCAACTAACACCATATCTGCGAAATATTAGTATGCACAATGTCCATCGTATTGGCCGCTGTGTGACCGTAGCGCCCCCCATGTCGCTCACGTATATAAATTTGAGCCAACAACTTTTTCGAAAAAAGTACAGACCTATGGTGGAAACTCCGCACTAAACAGTAAACTTTTGTGGATGTATTGGAACCTGGTGAACCTCGTGTGGGTTAGATATGACCCGACAAACTCCGTGCAAGTGAAAAGATCCGTCGTAACAGGGATGTAGCCAGATTCATGCTGAAGTTTAGAGAAAGAAGTCAGATGAGGAGATGTGGTGATCTCCGAAATAGCAGCTATAACTGCTCTCTCTCGTTATCGCCGGATAAGGAGCGGCTGGAAGGCCATTGATCATATGTACTACACTCTCGGATAGATGCACATAGTTTTGGTGGAGAGTTTCCGACAGAAGAAACCTCCATCAACCCTGTCTCCAAGTTTTGATCCATCCACGAAGAAGTTTACCACTCGCTTCTTCGAGTAATCCCGCCCTACCCAGTCATCTATTGAGGGAATATATGTAGATAGATAAGGAGCTTACGGGAACCATTTCGGAGGCGTTGTAATCTATGTGTTCAGGGCGAAGTAAAAAAGTGCAGTTATCCACGGACGTAAAAACGGAAAACGTGTCAACTGACACGATCTATCTTATGGGATCTGCATGTTAACAAAAACTCACCACCGCAACAGCGTGACATAGACGTTGCTTCTCTCTCTTTCTATCAACAGCACACTTGATATCTTTCTACGTACTTCCACACTACGCTACGTACACGTTCGTGGGTAACCGCACTCAAAGCCTTCCATAACTCCTTGGTGTTACCACCCGGTTTCCCTAAGCCTAATCGCAGTGCGTGCTGCGCCAATTCTGTCTGCAATATCCGCACGCGCCGTGTTCAACATGACGTTAAGCGTCAGTGTAGATGTGGTTCCTAATGCTCCACTAATTCCGATTAGGGCGATCCGCTGTAAATGATGCAGTTTTTTTACAAGTGTAGCCTTCTCTAATGAGTTCCACCAGACAAGGGCTCCGTGAAACAAGATAGGCTTCTGGTTTCATAAAGCTAATAAAATACTTAGAGCGAGGTACCTCACCTTTTATCGATAGCTCCCCTACCCCCTTTCCTCAATGGTAGGCTTCCTATCCAATCACACGTGAGTACTTGACCCTGTCTAAGAGCCGCAGATGTTGATTTCCCACTTAGTTGCCAGGTTCAGGTAGCCTTGAGCCAGATCAAAAATGGTGTCTTGAAATCATCCCTTAACCAAAAGTTCCACATCATTTACATAGGCGATCATCCGACAGCCCAATTTTTCCAGTTAATCTAGAAGGTCCCTTACAACCGCAATCCAGAGCAGGGGAGAGAGAACACCCCTTGCGTAGTGCCCTTACTGACTCTGCGCTGAGTGCAGGCGGTCCCCCACTCCCCCGCGACAGCTTTATTAGGTTGGTTTCAATCCCCCTGATTTTGAGTAACCTTATTAAATAGCGTCTGGAGGGACATTGTTGAAGGCCCCCGTCGATATCGAGGAAGGCCCCCAATGCATACTCTTTATGCGTGAAGGCTCCCTCTTACCACTTTACCAATGTGTGCAGGGCGGTATCCACCGACCTTTCCTTGCAATGAGCATGTTGAGCTCTAGAAAGACAATCACGAGGAATGGCGTTTCTTATGTACAGGTGTATCAGTCTCTCTAGCGTTTGTAGCAAAAACGAAGACTGACTGGCAGGCCTAAAATCTATAGCGGAAACATGAGAGCCTTTTCCGGCTTTCGGGATGAACGCAACACTGACTATCCTCCAAGCCTTGGGGATGTACCCGGTCCTCACGCACTTCGCATAAATAGGAGCCAAACAATTGCGTGATACCTCCAGAACCTTTTGCAGCTGATGCCATCGATCCACGGCGATTTGAAGGGTTTGAACGAATTTATCATCCAGGCTATGGGACTATCGTCCAGAAGATCGGAGAACTGCAGGACGTGTAGTACAAAATATTGCACCGCGAAATACAAGTGCTATAAAAGAAGTACTGTCCTTCCGAAAGAAGTACGGTTAGTCTCATTAAGTATACTACTATCCAAATATTTTTCCACATCTCGAGTCAAGAAGACCAGTTTCAATTGGCATCTACTGGTACAATATTATACACAATTTATTCCATACATATACATACGTATGTTATCCTACACATTGTAAAAATACAAATACTCAAAATTAATTATCTGATTATGGTTGATGAGCAATAAAAATGTTGAAATTACACGCTTTTGCTATGCGCGCTTAGGACACTTTAAGGCAAAAATTACGAGAGGGCATAAATTAAAGCAGAACGGGGCAAAGAATGTTTACATTCCACGCGGTGTTAAATACTTTTACAGCAGCAGATATTGAAAACTCCAAATGCCCAACGAAAACTGCAGAAGTAAGCAGAATAACAACAACAACAACAACAAAGTACAAAACAAACTAAATCGTCGAAAACCAACTGCAAACAGCCGGTGGACTTTGGCAACAGATGGAGGCAACAACACGAAATTGCAGCAATGAAAATCCTATTGTAAACAGGAATGTGACTAATTGGAAAATGCGCAATGACAACGAAAAGGGGGAGCGGGCTATCAAAAATTTGTGCGTAGAGGACAAAGGGCTGCGTAAGTATGTATGTATGTATGTACGCCTTTGGTATGGATCATCAATAGTGGCAGCAATAAATAAATACATACATATCTAGCAGCATCATTTTTACGAACAGCGAGGCTACACAGCAGCAACAGCAAAAGTGGCGGTAGCAACGGCAACCAGTTGCAAGTGTATCGCTTTAAAAAATATGTAACAACAAGCAGCATCAAAAGTAATGAGCGTAATTAAGTAAAGAATGCGGTAAGGGGGATGCTGTGCGAATGCTGTGCGCTTATATATACCACATACATATGTAATAGACTCCTGCGCAATTCCATTTAAACGGCCCAACAAGACATCCGATCGCCGCGCAAATACTTTCCATCCCCTACTTTCATCGTTCGGGTCAATTGTGAGTAAGCATAAACCAGTTTCAGCAAGCGTACGTAAACTACCGATCAATAGCAACACGCGTAGAGTATTTACTTTGCCTTCCGCAACTACTGCGAGTAAAAGGTATTTGACAGTAGAGTACTCTACTGGTAGTACTTGAGTATTTTCGAAGAAAACATACATTTGTGGC